GGAATTAATGGATACTGAAATAGCCTTGTTCGCAGATGACACTGCCATCCTTTCATGACAAGAACTGATTATAGCCCTGGAATATCGACAAAACTATTTAAATACCTTAATTATATATGATATAATTAGCATCTGATATATTTATCATCCAGATCAACTCAAACAAATCACAAGCTAAAATTTTCTCGCTTAAAATATTTATAACTTCTCCAGTTTTCAATCAGTTCAATTCAGTTCTCTGGCTACATAATAACCAACTCATCAAATAAATTAGGTAGGGGATTAACATAGAAGAACTACATGGTTGATATTACAAATAAAACTGTGCAAAAAGTGTCAAACCTTACCTATTAATAAATAGAAATTCAGCATTAAGAATAGAAAACAGAGTAACAATTTGTAAATCTATAATTCGTCTGTCGCTTACCAACCCAATAAAGCAGAAGAAAGTATCTGACGTTGTGGTATATTTTTTATTTTCCATGGCTGATGCTATTTCTATAATATAATTCTACATAAATCTTTGACCCCTGGAAAAAAACTGATGAGTATAATTTTTTTGAAAATTGGATAAATATACTACTGAATTCTCCTAATCATTCTGTGTTGGTCAGGCAAGTTAAATACTTTCAGTTCAATAATGTTTAACTCCATTGATGAAGTTTATTTAGTCTGAAACCTTCCCAGAATTTCAAGTTTAGGCAGACATAAAAACTTCAACTTCTGAGATGGGGTCATATAAATAGTGAAAGCCTAATCTAGAACCAGAAACTCTTATAAAACGGTCTTGAACCTTTTCTAAGAAAGAGATGAGCCCAACTTAGTAGGTGGCCCAAACTGGCTAATTATACTCCATATATGTACAAATGTTTTGATCAGTGTTGCCAAACAATGAGTGGATAGACCTTTGGTGAAGCACATGGTGAACAAAAAAAGGATGGAGTTGGGTTTCCTACAAATATGGTGATTGTTCAGACAAGGATGCAGGTTTGATGATGTTTTTGCATCAAAGTCTTTCATCTTTTGCATGAGTTTGTTAAAAATGGATTAGAGGTGTCCTTTAGAATTGGATTAGAGGTGGAATCCTTTGTGAATTCCTTAAATCTTACTCTGAAAACTATCAGTCAGTGAAAAACAATAAAACTTTCAGTGATAGGACTGTAATCTTATATCTTTCAAATGCTTATTCTAGTGGACTCCATGGTCTGTTTCTTTTCAATTTATTTATAAATGTTATAGACTATGCTCATGGGGTGAACTTTTCTTATATGCTGCTGATGACTGCAAATTCTTTTAAGAAATGATAATGGATCACTATTCCCATCTCCTCCCTTTACCATTAACATTAGTGTGAATATAATGTTCAAAGAACACAGTAAACCTCAAATTCATTGTTATGATCTTTGCAAGGTAATGGAGTCCCCATGATTACAAATATTTTGAAAACAATGGCGGTAGAGCAAACGTTAATTTAATAATTTTGAATCTGGATGTTGGGACTGGATTCCAAATTATTATGTATTTTCTGCCTAATACTGAGAATATAAGCTCTTTAGTTATCACATTTAATGCATGTGACTTAATGCTCATAATATTTAATGTTCTTTTAGGAATTGTTTCAGAAGGAGTTGTATTAGAGTGCCTTGTTTTTTGACTCTGCCTGATTGTGCTGGTCATTGAGATTAAGTAATATGCTGGTGCTGTTGCTGGTCATTGAAATTAAGTCAAACCTACGTTTCCCAACTGCTGGCTGTAGAATTTAATTATTTGGGGGATATTTTTTTACCAGAATTTCAATTTTAACCTCATTTATGTGTATGAATGTTATTCGTTAGTTGTATAATGCATTAGAGAACCATGATATCTGGGAATCCGCTGAAACTAATACAGGATTATGTTGCCAGCATTTGGGATAAACTTATGATTGATAAGTTTTACTGTAAACATTAGATATTTGGCTATGAGCTAAAAATTATTGGTTTCACACTTTTGTGTTATTTCTTTGTTCAGCTGTGCAACAGTTACGCAGTCTCCTGGGAGTTCCTTCTGATCCTGCAGGTGATGCATCTGTCAGTGATGAAGATGATTTGGAAGATCAGTTAGCTGCATTAGTTGAAGATCCTTCTGTTAGGTTAGTACAGTAATAAACAAAAGCTCAAGGAGATTTTATGTTTGTCTCAATTTTAATTTTTTGTGGGGCTTTTTTAAATTGTTTTTTTTAATTCATGAATAATGTGTCCAATTTTATTATAAAAGTGTTTTGAAAAATAAATGGAACTCAGGATTTTGGGACTCTTTTAATTTTAAAATACAGGTATATCACCTACAAAACTATAAAAAATTGCAACAAGATACAATACCGAAAATAAAATTATTTCATTAAATTTCACAGATTTTACTCCTGGCTTTGTGTACGAAATATTTATCACAATTTCATGTCAATGCAAATATTCTTGTTTCTTTAGACATTTTGTTGATTGGTGTGTACTGTAATTGGTGTATACAGTAATTTACTTAGTCTTATACTAAATAAGTCAGTTCTTCTAGTATTGAAGTGGGGAACTTTAAAAGCAAACATTATATCCAAATCCAACATTTTAGTTAGTCTATTTTCAACTCAGATGCTATTTGATTGTAGTCTTGCATATTGAAAGGATCATCCTATCCTAACCCATGCTCTGCAATTCTGAAAAAAATATGCATTCACCATACCTCTGACATACAACAATACAGGCTGTATCAACATGAAATGGAGGTCTTAGAGCTCAAAGCAAGTGTAATTTGTGACAAGTACATCTAACAAAGCCATAACCGACAAGTACATCTAACAAAGCCTTAACCTTGTTAATTACACATTGTGTGTGCTCATTAAAAGACATTCTAGAGTAAAAAACTAATGGTATCTTCCTTTTTCAACACTTTTGAATTTACCTTATAGTCAGTCTCATTTGTAGTTCTTGCTCTGTTAAACAAGATAATTTTACTCTTATATTTACTATTATTCATTGTTGCTGCATCAATGAGAATATGAGCAATGATATTCAAGGAATTTTGCAATACTTCTGACCAGAAATGTTTTTATACTTTTAAGAATGTTTAGCTTTATTTCTTATTCTAAATTTTGGAATTAATTCTACAAGAAAACGTTTTATTTGAAAGTATTTTCATTTGTATTTTGGAATATTTCACCTCTGTGTTTAGAACATATGAGTTATTAGACTTCTTGCACAAAAAACAAAAGGTTTGGGGTTGGAAAATGAGAAAAGGAAGTGTATTGAAAAACAATAAAACTGTTTGTTTGTTTTTTGGGGGGTTGGAGGGACATAAAACAATATGTGGTTAATAAATTTTGAATATCCTAACATCTGTATATATGTATCTCACTGGTCATATATGGATAGCATGCTAGCTTTCTGTAGGATAATCCTGGATTTGATCCTGGTGAGGGCAAAAATAGAATTGCAGCATTCCACTACAGTAAGTAGCGTAACAAAATGAGTGCAGGCTAGGATGCAAAACTTTTATTGGGGCCCTGTGTGTATAGCAAACACAAGCAATGTTAGTACCTTACATAATAAAAGTATCCCCTAAAAGTATCTTTTACCCTGGCCTACGCCCAGGACTGGGAATGTTGTTAGCTAGTTGTCAAAAGATGGGCATACAATCGAAATGCCTAAAGCGTATAACATCTAAATAAGTTAGTATATCAGTTAACAGGCATTAATAAATGGCTGTAACGTAACTAGCATATACAAAAGTGTACTAACAAATTACTAACTAATTTCTTGAAACATTAATTCAATTAACATACAAATCATAAACTATCTTCAGGTGAAATCAAATACAAAATCAATCCTTGGGGAAGACTGTAATGCTATTACAAATGTGCTATTTAACTTGTCATCTGTTGGAGTACCAAGTTGACAAGTTTACCAGTGAATTTGTCACTTTCTTGAATTTAAAAATTCATACTCTTAATGGAGCAACTTCATTGTGAGGTAATGGTATGCATGTTCGAATTTGCACATTTGTAACTAAAGGACAATATTTACTGCGTGTGTATGTATGTGTATGTGTGTATGTCATCCTATTGAATTCACTGTGGTATATAATTTTTGAAAATTGCTACCATTTGCTGAAGTGATAAAAAAGACAAAAAAGATGATTGTGATAGTTGTGTACATACATAGTTTCTTCAAAACTTATTTTATTTATTTGTGTCTTGAAGTTGCCAAAATTATATTTACAATAATATTGCAAACAACTTCTCTGTCCATCTTCATTCAGAGCTGGAGCTCTGACTATTGTGGTCCATGGACAAACTGAAACTGAGGACCCTATCTTGACTGACAAACTGATATTGAGATCTATCTTACTTTGTATCTACAGACCTCCAAGAAAGAGAGCTTTAGATTATTTAATTTTCTTAGAAAATCTAGAGATAACTCTACACAAAATTAGTAATCTATCTTTTAAATCCATTGTTGTATGTGGAGATTTCAATATTGATTTTATGAGTGAATTCCACAAAAAAGAGCAGTTTGTCAATTTACTTCATTCTTTTAATTTAGATATTGCAGTGAATGTACCTTCAAAGAATACATTTAAATCACAAAACGTGACTTGATGTTAAGATAACAAAATTTCTAGGTCTCTCAATTCAGTCAAACCTTCAATGAAATATACATATAGCAGAATTAAACACTAAATTAAGTTCATTATATTACGGATTCAGAATTCTTTCAAATTCTGTCAGCCTTCATGCTTCTTGTTGCGTGTATTTTGCAAATGTACATTCCCACCTGAGAAATAGCATAATATTCTGGGGAAGCTCATCATGTAATACCCAGACCTATAGATGGCAAAAGAAAATTATTCAAATAATGAAAAAATACCATCCGCATGGTTCCTGCAAGTCTCTTTTCATTGAGCTTGAAATCTAACCATTGCCATTCCTATTTATTCACGAATGTCATATTTGTCAAAAGTGACTTACTTAACAGTGGGAACATATTTTCATGCAATATTGATATTTATTATTACAACACGTCATAGAAATCACATTCATCAAGTGTCAGTATCAACAGCTCACTCACTACAATAAATCCATGTACACTACTGTTTCTCTACAATTAGAGACTATACAGATCATAAAAAATAATAAAAAAAAGAGAGAGAGGGAGAGAGAGAGAGAGCGGGAGAGAGCGAGAGAGAGCGAGAGCGAGCCGAGAGTGAGCGAGAGACGAGCGACGACGATGAGCGAGCACGAGAGCGAGAGACGAGAGCAGAAGCAGAGCCAACCACCCCAACGCAGCGAGAGAGAGAGCGAGAGAGAGAGCCACGAGAGAGGATGTAGAGAGACCGAGGAGAGCGAGAGAGAGAGAGCGCGGAGAGAGGAGGAGAGAGTGTGTGAGTGTGGAGTGTTGGCGGGTGTGATGTGTGAGTGAGTGTGTGAGTCTCGCTGAGTGAGGAGTGTAGTGGAGTGTGTGAGTGGAGTGTTGTGAGTGAAGTGGTTGTGAGTTGAAGATGTGTGGAGTGAGAGTGTGTTGTGAGGAGATGTGTAGTGAGGTTTGTGAGAGCTGTGTGAGTGCAGATGTGAGGTGTGGAGTGAAGTGGGTGAGTGAGTGTGTGACAGTCGACGAGTGGTGAGTGAAGTGTGTGAGTGAAAGTGTGTGGAGTGAGAGTTGTGTGAGTGGGAGGGGTGAGAGTGGGTGTGAGTGAGAGTGTGTGAGTGACGGAGCTCGCTGCTGAGGTGGGTGAGGGAGTGTGCTGATGTGTAGTAGAGGTGATGAGTGATTGTGAGTGAGAGTGTGTGAGTGAGAGTGTGTAGGTGTGAGTGAGATGGGATTGTGTGTTGAGTGAGATGTGTGTAGATTGTGAGAGCGCGGGTGTGTGAGTGAGAGTGTCGTCGCACTGGGTGAGGGAGTGTGTGAGTGGAGAGTGTGTGAGTAGAGTGTTGTGAGTGAGAGTGGTGTGAGTGATTGTGAGTGAGAAGTGTCTGAGTGCCGCGTCCTCGCTCCCGCACACCGCTCTCGCGCACTCCCCCCGGTGTGATGAGAGTAGTGTGTGAGTGAAGAGTGTGTGATCCCATGTTTTAGGAGAGTGTCGTGAGTGAGAGGGTGCTCGAGTGAGAGCGCGTGTGTGAATGAAGATGTGTGAGTGAGAGTGTGTGAGTGAGAGTGTGTGAGTGAGAGTGTGTGAGTGAGAGTGTGTGAGTGAGAGTGTGAGAGTGAGAGTGTGAGTGTGAGAGTGAGTGTGAGAGTGAGAGTGAGAGTGAGTGTGAGTGTGAGAGAGAGGGGGGGAGAGACACTATTTTAACAAAACAATGGTAATTAATGAATTAGTGTACATTTGTATTGTATATTTTTTTTTAAAAAAGACCTAATATGCTTGGAACAAATAATCTTCAGCTTCCAGGTCAATGACCCCCATCTCCATCAGGTTTTTGACCAGTTTCCCTGATACATTTTGCAAATGCTGTGATAGCCCCTTGTTATGCTTATAGACGTAAATTTAGCTTCACTATGCGCATGTTTTTTTGAACTGTCCTTTTGTTTGTTAGGAGAGCAGCTGAAGTTGAGTTACTATTTTGTTAGTAATGCAGAAAAATCAATTCTGCAGTTTGTTTACCATTGCAAATACGTTTTGTATAACTCAGGAACGAAAATGTCTAGTTTTTCAAACGTTGCTAATGTTGTGATTTTTTAATTTTATTTTTATTTATTTAGTTTTTTTAAGAAATATACCTTTTAAGAAAAATACCAACACTGCCTCTGCCTCTCATACAAAATTTCTTCTGGTTTCTCGTGATCTTCATATGATGAGATGTCCCTGTTGTGATTCTCCCCTGCATGTTTTAGTCTTTTTGATATAAATAAATGAACAAACAACAAAGTGAATATTTGGCTCATAAATTTCTCCAACCAGTGATATGTTCGAGTGAAGTGTTGTTGTTATTGTTGTGTTTTTTTATAATACATTTTGTGATCAATAAATATCTTTTGAACTAATTTTAATCCTTTTTTGTGTAGAACTCCTGCAGTTGTTGAAACAAAACATAATACTACTAAAGAAGTCAAACTAACAGAGTCAAATCAAAAAGTGAAGGAAGGAAATCCAGTCCCAACTGAACAGTCTAAATCAAGATCTCAGAAGGATTCCAAGACTAGTAAATCTTCAGAGAGTGCCAAGCCCTCAACACGAACTGGCTTAAAAAAGCCTCCTTCATTAATCAAGGTTTTGGAGTCTGATACTGAATCTTTAAATCTGGACACAGGAGCAGTATCAAATGTTGACAGTGATGAATTTGATTTTAGCACGGAGTGAGCTTTTGTTTCTGTAATTTCAGAAATTTATATTTTTGTTTAATGTCAGTTATAAAGAGTGAATTCATTGTCAGTCACTTCTCTTAGTCATTGCCCAATTGTAGTATATGAATTATTTCATTTTGTGTCAGATTTTGTAAGTAAGATGGATGTTCTAGTCTCAGTTCAGTTCAGTGACATTCGATCATTAGAGGAGTAGCAGTTGTTTATTTTTTATCTGTTTATATAAGAATTATAAGAAGTCACTTTTCAGCTAATTTTTGTTATCATGTTTTAGATTAGTTGCTATCTCTTAACTCTCTTATTGAATTGAAGACGTCTATAAATATACCACAGAAGCTAGAAAAATGCTGTGTGTTGAGAAGCATTTTTGCTAATTAAAAGCATAGATGCGTACACACTGGGGGGGGGGATGCTGTGAAAATTTTAAATGGGCTCTATAGCCCTATCTCAGAAAGCATTGTATTGCCATAAATATGATCTATTCCTTATTCTCACATTTTTTGCTAACAATTTGGGAAAGAGGGGACCTCGAAATGTAGTCCCTCCCCTCTTCTTTAAAGCTGCACCTGCCCGTTATTAGAAGAAACATTTCTTCCTTCGATTTTGTTAGGAAATATTTGATTTTGATTTCTAAGGGTTAAAAAGTACATTAAAAGTATTTTTCAAGGCTTCAAAACATATTAATTTCAATAATTTAAGTTGTTAATCAAATGTGAGTTGATCCACAATAATGGTATTTATAATAATTTGATAATTATTATCAAATTTCAAAAATGTTTTATTCCCTCTTTACATTGCAGATTAGTTTTGCATTCAAAAGCAGCAAATAAAAAACAATGACATGTTTTCTGGTATTGATTTTTTTAAATTTGAATTTGTTTAATTTCATTTCAATATAAAATATGTATTACTTAGCGAAGTTTGAGATAGTATACATTTTTCTTTTCCCCTTTACAATAATTGATAGGCAACTTATATGTGGTGCTAAAATAAAACCATCAATGGAAATATTAGTCACATGAATTGTATATTAATATTGTACTTATGATAGAATAGATAATAAAATTTGTGTTGTTTTTTTTCGTATGTTATAGGATGTTGTATTAAAGATCTGATTTCTTTTTATATGAATAATAAAATTTTAGCTTTGGAAACTTCTGTTCATAGTAGCCTGTACCTGCCTTTTCGTGTTGCATTAGTCTTAGTAAGGTTTGAGATTCCTGTATTTTATTGAAGTTAATGATATAAATTTTATGAAAAATTCTTGTAGTTTTATATAACACTGTGCACTTTTACTTATTGTAAAGAAGGAAATAATATAATCAATATTTTAGGAAATGGCATGTTAATTTATTTTTATGAAGCTGTTGAAGCAAAAGTTGCTGCAATATTTGCAAAAGTTGTATCTGGTTACAGTAATATTTACAAATTGATTGTTAATATATCTCTTCCTAGAATATCTTTCTCTGTCTCCTGTTTATTGTACAAGAATAAAATATGTTTCCTGAATAACTTTGTTTACACCCTAAAAAATTCCACTTCTGCAACGTGTCATTTAATAATAATAATAATAATAATAATAATAATAATAATAATAATAATAATAATAATAATAATAACAATAACAACAACAACAACAAATGGAGAAATTTTGTATATTTTATTCACAAGAAGTGCTTTTTCTGGTCACATGGTACTGATAAGACAGTACAATAGGGCAATGTGGCATTACAGTATACTTTTCACAAAAATACAGTACATTGAAAATAAACTTTCACATTTAGGATACCATGTAAGTTGTGACTTAACTGTAGATCACAAAAAATACAGAACAATGAAATACATCAACACCAAGGAGGCCATGATTTCAGCCACCTCCAACCATGTGATTTTTATGTGTCTAAGCCCAGGAATCACTGCCCACAAATCTTCCATTATTCTGAAACAGAGGAATCAACTAAATAATATAACTCTTGAATTAGAATGCATTTAAGAATGAAGGTTAATCAGTTGTTGAAGAGAATAATTAATTGTGCTTGACAGAAATATTCTATTACCTAGTTTATATTTGCTTCATGTTTTAAGAGTGGTTAATTTTTTTTTATTTAGGACAATATAACTTTTCTTTAGAACTTAATATATGTGAACTACTTTTTTACAACAAACTAATTTTATTAACAATAAAATAAATCTCATTTAGTATTAAAGGGAAACATATCAAGCAAACACCAACAACTTTTTTAAATTGTCAGGTGAATAACAATTTAGAATAAATAATTGTCTCCTTGAATGATTTTGTCGGTATGGCTAAACCATTCAAAACGAGCGGTGTGATAATTGTTTCAAACGTGGCGATACAACATTTAGAGATAAGGCAGTCACCCGGAAGTAAAAGAACGCTCTTGCGGTTTCTTGTCTTATCAAATTTCACGCGTACTCAGTAGACAATTGAAACTAGGCCTTCGTAAAGCGGCGCTTTGCCCTCGCGTGTAGAAGAGTGGACTTCAGTCGATTACGTTGAGCTTATGTATCTGCCCCTCCCTCGATTGTGTTGGTCACTCCCTCGGCCCGGGAAATAGAGGTGAAGTTGGTAGCCATGGACCTCATTCTGAACTGTCACGGCGTCTTTGAGCGGACGCAAACTCTGTCATAAGCAACTGACAGACCAAAGGGGCGTGTCATAGTTTTAGCATTTGTTAGTATCGGGTGTCACGAAGAAACATTTGCAATGGAAGAGGCCTCGGTGGCCGCGCCCGAGCGGCCGCAGGCTTTTCATCTGCCGTTCGAAGTGGACGGCGACGGCGACGGCGACAGCTCAGGCAGCCGGGTGCCCGGAGAATGCGAAGGTAAGACGACACGCGACAGCCATCTGATCGCACGGGTTGCGTCGGGGGCCAGGCGGAATAAGCGGAACCGGAAAGGGGTCGTCTAGGGTTTTCGCCTTGGTGCGGGGCGAAACAGAAGGCGTGGGCGGATTGTTGACCCTGGCGAGTGACAGCTGCATCGCGCCAACCGGTCGCCTATCGCCGCCGGCGGTCGGCGAGGCACGGCGCGGGGTTCACTAGTTGAACGTCGCGACTCGGCACGGCAGTGGAGGCGCCCCGCCCGGACACGCGCGGCGGCATTTGGCACGTGGTGCAGGGGTTGAAGACCGTCCGCCTAAAAATATGTGTCGAGTGACTCACCGAGCTTTCCCGGTGGACGCGGGCTGGGGCGGCGGAAGCTGGGTCGCGGGAGATCCCTGCTGGCGCGCCGGCGGCTCTCGTCCTCGCTGTGTTGCCCGGCGCCCGCCAATCGATCGATAGAGGAGTTGGGGAAGTGGCGGCGCCGGACGAGTCTATCCCGGCGCCTCATTCCCAGTCTGGGCGTCGATACCTGGCGCCACGAGCCGCGCCGCCGCCGTTACCGGCGCGAGACCGTTGCCATGGTGATGAAGGATGGAGGCGAGAAAATTATGGGCTGGCTCGAGCACAATGGCGTTGCGGCTTGCCCGCATTTGATAACATGTAATTCTGGAAAGATTCTTCCTGAATGACTAATATCAACGAAAGCAGTGTACACTGTTAAGAAGAAAAATATGGCGTGTCCGTTCTATATTTGTTTTAGCGTCAAAAATACTTTTCTTTATGCGTCACGTTTGAATATTCGTCACCTCACCTTTTGCTAAAATATAAATCAAAAAGTCTTTACAAGCTAAACTGCACCAAAAATATCGTAAAATTGTTCCAAAACAGTAAAATCCTATTAATATACTGCATTTGAAAGAGTCATAGCGTAGGTGTCAGTCGCCCGGGAAGAAGGAAAATTTCGCCGACCCTTATTGGAGTATTTCAGTTTAATACTAAAATATGCGCGCTTGAACCACGTAGCAGAAAGTCAAACACACAATTAGATAAATAAAATATTTAATACAAGTCAATTGTATACGTACGAAATATACAATATTCAACAAATTTCAATAATTTAACAATCACTTCACGCACTTATGAGCACTAAAATCGAAGTTGGGAAAGCGCATTCATATACAAGAGTTAAGTGAACAGGACGATTACCGGTCCATCAATGAAACATTCTTTGAATTGTCAAAGCCTCACTCACGGACTCTCCTGAAAGGTCGTATCGGTACTGTAATCTAATTTGCGGGTGTTATTATACAATATTGAACTATTTACTTCATTTCTCGCTGGGTATTAGTCATAAGCAATCCAAGTCACAAAATAAAATAGGATAATCCCTACAAGTCAGTACAGACGGTGTTGCCAGTCGCTACAATGAGCAAGATGTCGATATTACTCATTAATTTAAAAAAATCGTCACAGAATGACTAATGGAAGACTCTGTAATTATTTCAATCGGTCCGAATAGTAGTTGAGACAAAAATATGAAATGTTTCAAATTTTTACAAGATATAATAATAATAATAATAA